CCGCAAGGCTGAGGCCTGCAGGGCCGCTGCCTGGGCTGCCCCTGGCGGGACGGCCTGGGGCTGTCGGGGAACAGACAGTGCCGGGTCACCTGGACCAAGGCCGAAGCCGCAGCCGCGCGGCCCCAGGCCAGGACCCCGCCCTCACGCCCGCACAGAGCCCTAGGGCGGCCGGAGCCTCGGAGGCAAGGCAGGGACATCTTTTGAAGTCTCCAGGCAATCTCACTGGTAGTTCGGTCTCCTCTAGAGAGCCACCGCTGAGTCTTCAAAGCGCAGGGTGTTTGTTTAGAGACTCAAGTACCGCAGGAGGGGGGAGAGGAGTACTTGAAACCTCCAGTGACATCTTCGCTGGAGAAGACACACTCTGGAAAGATCTACCCGACAGACTACAAACACAGGCTATTAACGAAACAAAAAATCTGGCTTCAAAGGAACCCCTCTCTCGGTTGGACTGATCTTCCTCTAACTTTTGAATTATTTGGTATCAAAAGCCAGAGTTAGAGAGACCTGGGTTGAAAAAATAAAATGACCATTGAGTGCTTTAAAAACAGACAGACAGAAACAAGCGACAGACCCCTCTTCCTAGGGAACGGGGAGAAAGGCAGACGGCATGGTGGGCTTCCGTGTGGAAGGAGGACCCGCCCGCCGATGTTCTCTCAAACCTCAGGACGCTGAGTTTGTCACTGAACTTAGGACTGGGGGAGCTCTCGGCAAGCTGCCTGGTCCCAGCCCCCGTTATGGGCACACACAGAGCGCAAGGGGGCTCGAGGCCACAGAGGGGCAGCGTCGGGCTCCGTGCACCTGTCAGGGCCCTTTCCGAGACCTCACCAGTGGCCACCCTGGGGCAGCTCCGTGATGGCCTCGCTGCTCAGGAGGCCCGCGCCTGAGGGAGGCCCCGAGGGCCCGTTTCCCACACTGGCCCAGAGATGAGAACCACCTGGGGCACTTGTTGAAAATTAAAATCCCGGGGCTCCCTCCAGACCCTGGCTCCGGCTTCCCCAAGGGGAGGCACCTGGGAGGCTGAATTTTTAACTAGCGCCCCAGGTAACTCTCAGCACGGGCAAAGTAGGGGAAACGTCGAGCTCCGTGAGGGCGGAACACTCGGGCGAGCCCAGGCACTCGGGCGCCCGCCGGGGGCCTCGAGAGTGAGGGCCGGCCTGGCGGGCCGTCAGCACGCAAGGCCATCACCGCGGGAACAATCCCTCGCTGTCTTGGAAAAGCCTCTTGGTTGGCAAAGCAAACTTGCTGTTCAGACATTTTTAATAGGGAAACTAGACGTGATTGGCTTAAAAGCAGTCAGCCGCTGAAACTGGGCAGGAGGGCGAGACCCTGGGGCCTGTCACCACGGCTAACAAGGCAATGGAGAACACCAGTAACTAAGCACAAAAATAGCCCAGAGCTCCTGGGGCCAGCAGCCTCCTCCGGGACAGGGGTCCCGGCCCCGCGGTGTGAGGTCCGAGCCCAGCCACCACGGGGGACGGCCCGACAGGCTGCAGGGCCGGGGCCGGGGCGGGCCGAGCCTGGCTCACTCGGCGCCCGCCCCCACGGGACCCGCGTCGGAGCACTGCCACTTGGTGCGCTCCCACTGGCAGATGGCGTCGGCGTACTCCACCACCAGCTTGTCCATCCACGTCAGGGGCGCTGGGAACAGCACGGAGCCCTCGAAGAAGCCCAGGTGGCCCCCGTGCAGCGGCAGCACGAACATGACGTTCTCCCGTTTCTCTGCGGGGCAAGGCAGCGGCTGAGTCCCGCCCTGCGCGGCGGCAGCTCAGGCGGGCGGGCGGTGAGCCCCCTGGCCACCCACGCTGCGCCGGGCCCGCGAGGTGGGAGGGGCAGTGCCGGCACAGCGCCTCCTGGGGTGCGGACTCAGGCCGCCTGGCGCCAGCCTTAAGCCCTGGGGGCTGAGACGAGCCTGCAGGTGAGGCTGGGCCCGGCGCTCCCAGGGCCCCACACCCAGGACCTCCTGGGCAGCCGCCACTCTGGGCTCAGCCAGGACCACCAAGCAGACTTCGTGTGAGAGAGAGAGAAAGAGAAGGGGCACGGTGTCCCCGCGGATTCCAGCGCCTCCTCCTCCGTGCGCCCCACCGCCTGGATATCGCCTTAGAATGCAGATTCTGACTTAACAGGCGAGGCCACGAGGGCCTGCGTTTCTGGCAATGTCAGTGCGGAGGCCGAAGGGGCAGTCCGCAGCCACTAGCCCTCCTGCTGGCGCACACGGCGAGCTCCGCGGCGCCCGCTTCTTCCCCACAGCAGGCCTAAGGCTGGGCCGTGAGCTGAAGCTGCAGGCGTGCTGACGGGCGCCCGAGGCCCTGCGTGCACGTGAGACAGTGCGCTGAACGCACTGGCCAGGGCCGGACACTGCGAGCCCACCTTTGGTCAGGCCACGGGGCGGGGAGGGGGAGGAGAGCACCTCAGCGAGGGTGTGGGCAGCAGGAGGGGCAGCCGCTCAGGCCAGGGGCGCTGGCTCCGGGCGGGTGGGCGGCCCCGGCCTCTGAGGCGCGTCCCGACAGTCGCGCCTCTGGCTCGAGCGAGCCCTGCTTTCAGGGGCCCCTTCGCTTTCCCTCTGCAGTGGCCACTTCACAGAGCTCTGAGCGGCCGCCTAGACAGGTGCATGAGGCCTCACACGCACGGGAAACGAGCCCTTTCCACGGCTGTGCACGGGCTCCTGTGTGCAGGCATGTGGGGGGGGGGTGGAAGCGGCTGTCAGAGCCCGCAGCAGCCCCCCGCAGCAGTGCCCCGAGCTCGGCGGCCGGCCCGCGCTCTACTCTTCTGGTCGGGGCCGGCCCGGGGGGCGTGGGCTCCCCGCGCAGTGACCTAGGGCCCAGTGCTGTGTCGGCACCCGTCCCGGCTCCCCAGCTCCTTCCCAGCAGAGTCGGCCACACAGAGCGGACGCAGAGGCCGCGTGCATATTCTCGTCCTCAAAGCAGCAGAGGAGCGGGCCTCAGGGGCAGCAGCCCTGGCGTGCTTTGCTTTCCGATTAAGTTTCATGTCTAGATACGTCCCTGAAAGTCACATTCCCAAGCGCACGGAGATCATGAGCTCAGCCACTGCCAGACACCAGCCGGCTCCCCAGCCCCCCTGGGAGCCGGAGACGGCGGCCCTCCTGCCGCACACGGCCCGCTGACCTCGGGCGGGGCCCAGGCTGCCAGGGACTGCGCTGCGGCCGAGCAGGCCCGGGACGCTCACCTGAGAGAGACTTTGGGATGGTGAGAAGGCTCTCGTGCACCAGGGGGTCATCGGCCGCGTTCACCAGCATGAGAGGCACATAGATCTGCAACAAGCACAGGAAGCGGCGTGAAACGAGCCACCACCTTCCAGACCACGCCGACCCAAGAGCCTCACGTTCACGACCGCGCGTGCCACAGGTGCGCCGTGGCGGCCCTGGCGGGCAGGGGCGGGCGCAAAGCAGCCCCTGCGGGAGGGAGTGGGCGCCCCCTGGCGGGAGGACGCCAAGGTTCTCCACGAGCCACGGGGCAGGTCCCCACTCACACATTCCCACTGCGGGTGGGGTAAACGGCACTGCTGCAGACAGCGAGCCTTCCAGAAGAATCCAAAGGGTAGAGAGGAGTAAGCTGGGGGACCTGGGGCTCTAGGATGCTGCCTTCAACATCCTTTTCAGCAAAGCGGCCTTTTGCACGTCAGTGGCTGTGGTGAGACGGGCGCGGGCATGTGGCAGCCAGACCCGGGGGCCAGGGACAGATCACGCTGACCCACGGGCGGCCTGGTTTGAGCGTGCAGGGAGCGAGCGCGTGGTCTGGTGGTGGGTTGGGTGGAAAACATTTGGGGGTCAGGGTTGGCTGCAAACGTTTCTTGTGGCTGCTCTTAGCGCCACCCCTGGGGAAACTGCTGCCAGCAGGCAGGCAGAGACGGAGATTCACACGCGCCCGCCCCGGGCGGGGTCCTGAGCTCGACCCCGCAGTGCTCACCAAACACGCAGCGGCCAGCGGCGCTTAGGACGGTGGCCTGGCGCCGGCCGCGAGGGCCAGGAAGACTCAGGAGGGCTGGGGTGTCCGTCACACTAAGGGCACAGAGCCTGCCTGCCCCCAGCGGACCCAGGCGCGCTTGGTGCCAGGAGCCAGGTCTGGCTCTGCCCGGCCCCGGCAGGGGCCGCCCGCCGCCCCCCGTGCAGGCAGCTCACCCTGTGCAGGTAGCGCATGCAGCTCTCCTCCTCGTAGTACTCCTTCAGCGAGGTGTAGCCGTGGAACTTCCTGCAAGCACGAGAGAGGGAACGAGACGCGTCAGAAGACGGGCGTGGGGGCTGCTGCTCCGGCCCGGGCGCCAGGTCAGCGGGACGTCCAGGCGGCAGTCCGGGGCAGGACGGGCCTTGGTGTCTGGGTTCAAACGCTGGTCTGAGACGGACCGACTGCGTGGCCTCAGGCGAAGGGCGTGGCCTCTCTGAGCAAATCCCTAACACACCCCGGGACGGGAGCTGCCCCGCCGCACCGGGTCGACCCGGCCGGCTACCCGGCCCGGGGCTCGCGCTAGAACCGCCCGTGGCACTTCGAGGCACGTGGCCGCCACGACCCTGCAACCCAGGCGGTCTCCGGACCCGCCTGCGGGAGGGGCCCTGGCTTGCGTCTGACCGTGTCCAAAGTGTCCAACGGCCACTTTAAGGGCGAGTCTGAAAGATGTGCAGGGCAGCGGTCTGGTGACCTCGGTCGGACGTTCCTGCACCCGCCGCTACTCAGGAGCCCCAGGGCTCTCGCGGGACTGAAGGGCACAGGGGTGGGGGCTGCAAACTGCACTGGGGGCGGCCTCACGCCCCCCAGAGCGGCCCCCCCTTATTTCGGTGGCACAATCCTCTCACTCTACTTTTAATTTACTTTTGACAGAGAAACGGACGCGCACAAGAACTACTTCCTTGTGCTTTTACTTCCCGGCGAATCGGAGGGTGGGCCCTGAGGGGTGGGGTGAGGACACAGGGTGGGCCCCAGCCCCCCGTGTCTGCCCGGCAGGAGCACACAGCCAGGGGCACAGAGACACCAGGCACTTCGGCTTTTTCGGTGGGCAAATACCCAAAGGGAAAAACACCCCTGGCCTCACTGGGGCCACAGGAGCCCGCCAGCGCCCCGCCGCGCACAGCCACCTCATCACGTTGTCGTCGATCTGCATGAGGGACGTGGCTGTGTAGAGGCGGCTCAAGTCCGTGTCCTCCAGGCTCTGCGGCTTCTTCACATGGTCTCCGAAAAGAGCTTGCCTAGGGCGGGACACGGGCACAAACGGGAACAGGCCGCAGGCGGTGAGCAGGCCACGCTGCGCACCGGAGCATCTCCCAGCCTCATCTGTCAGCGACTCCTCGAGAAAGCTCAAGATTTTTTTAAATCGCAAAAGGCAGATGATAAACACCCCCAGCAGAGCCTGCTTCCTCGCTCAGAGGCAGCCAGGAGAGCAGAGCATCTGCGGAAAGTCAGAAATAGCCCCTCCAGCCTCAGAATGTTCCAGAAGGTGAGTGCGCACTGCTGACTGTGGGGCAGTGGCAGAGAGGCGCTTTCCTTTCAGGGCAGGAGACAAGCTAAGGGCTGGGTCTGAGGTCAGGGGAGGTCACCCAGCTCTCTGAGGGGAGGGCTCCGGGGCGGGTGGTCGGCCAAGCAGTGGGGGGCTGGTCTAACGTCGGGGACCCTGTCCTCACGCTAGTGTTGGCGGGAGCCGTCCGCATCGCTACCGAGGAAGGCAGTGGCTGGCGTGGAGGCCAGTCCATGGCTCCCTGGCGTGGGGGCCGAGAGGCGGAGGAGGGGCCGTCTGCTCGGGGGGTGCCGAGGGAGGTGGAGGCCAGGTGCGCAGGCGGCCCCGGGCCGGGCTCCCCGTCCACGGCCAGAGAGGCCGCACGTCCTGAGGTCTGGGCGAGCGTCGTGATGGACACGGCCGGAGCCCGCACACCGCTCCCAAAGCCGCAGGCCGATTTCTCCAGCGCTGTTCCAAGACACGCCGGGAGGACGCCCACTGCGGTCTGAACCCCGACTTCAAGCAGCCCTGACCTTTCTGGGGTGACCCACGTACAGCTCGTCAGAGACTCGCCCCAACGGGTGACGAGCGTCACGGGGAGCCTTCAGGACCGAGTGACCAGCGCCGGGCGGCCCGGGGACCAAACAAACGTTCCGGGAGGGGTCCCTTCCCATTTCCGGGCGCAGGCAAGCAGATGGAGCCCGCATCGAGCCGGGGCAGCTTGCGCAGCATGCCCGGGAGCCAGCGCCCTTCCCTGCCCCCGCGGCACAGGGTACAGTGTCCTCTGGGGGCTCATTATGTGCCAAGCTCTGGGAGGATGAGATACGCCTGCCCGCGGCTTCACAGCCGCACCGAGGGTGCGGACCCAGCCCGGGAGCAACAGCGGGCGGCTGCCTGGAGGAGGAGGGCGCAGGGCACTGACGGGGCTGGTGTGGCAGCAGAGGTGACAAGTGTGGAGCGGGTCAGGCTGGAGGCGGTGAGCATCCCGGACCCCGCCGGAGAAGCCGGGCGGTATGGGCGGGACACATGAGGTCACGACCGCCAGGACGACACGGTCACGGGCGAGGAAGTGACCTCCGGAGAAGGCCTCACTAGCGCCCATCGCGGCCCTGAGCCTGTCTCGGCTGCCCGGGCGGGCTCTGAGCCGGGGGCAGGACAGCTGTGGGGCGCGCAGCGGCACGGAGGGGCAGGGTGGGCCCCACGGGAGGGAGGTGGACTCTGCCGCGCGGCTGCGTGGCCAGAAGCCCGGGGCCGCCATCTTGGGCCCACGAGTCTCGGCGCCGCAGCACGAAGCCCCCGGGGCTGGCCCGCTAGCCACGGCCAGCCGCCCGGACGGCGTGGGGAGGGCAGACGCAGCGCCTCCTCGGGCTCCCTGGGAATCAGGAGGAAGCCATCTGGGCGCGCCTGCCCGGTCACAATGCTGCCGGCCGGCCGCGGGCCACCGCCTCGGCCCTGCCCTCTCCCTGGGGGACGAGCGGTGGCTTTAGGGCCCACGGCGCCCAGGGGGAGGGGCGCACCTGTGCGACAGGATGATCTTCTTCATGTTGTCGGCCATGAGGAAGTTGTAGAAGCGCCGGCACTGGTCCCACTGCATGAAGGTCTCCTGCGCCCTGGAGGGAGCAAGCGCTCGGGCAGTGGGGGCCTGCGGGGAGCCCGGCCCCCAAGGGAGAGGGCGTCCGCGGGGGCGCGGCCAGGGCCGCAGATGGTGGTACGTGTGCCGAGCCGCTGGGCGGTGCGGAACCCGAGACCCGAGAGAAACCCCCGAGGGCCAGCGGCTTTGGGGTGACACCCTGGCCCCAGCCACGGAAGCTCCAGCGCCAGAGCCCCCGGCGGCCTCTCCGCGAGCGAGCTCCGAGCCAGTGCGGGCAGGTCTGCTGCTGGGTCAGCCGGGGCGCGGGGCGCCCGCAGCGGCCCAGAACACCCCGGCACGGGAGCAGCTTCAGCAGCAGCCGCTCCCCGACGGCCAGCACCGGCTTCAGGGCCAGGTGGAGGGGGGCAGGGCTGGCGTGAGGGGCGGCGAGGGGGCTCAGGCTCCTCTAGGAGGGCGCGCGGCAGCCCCGTGGCCCCGCCGTAGCCAGGCCCTCCTGCTCCAGCGGTGGGAGGGACGGTGGCCACCAGGGCCCCTGTGCGAAAGGATCCAGCGACCTCAAGCTGCAGGAAGAGGGGGGTGACCCTGGCTTAGAGTGCGCGACTGTCCTCCAGTGAGCGTCTTGTTAAAGCCCGTGCCCACGGGCCAGGTACCGCCCTGACTGCACCCTCCCCGAGGGGGGCCCCCGCGTGAACTGCCTCACGGTAATGGTCAGAGGCGGGAGGTGTCGGGCCCAGGAGGGGCTATGCAGACTGTCACTGCCCTTCGCAGATTCCCGGACTTGAGCGTCTCGAACCTTCTTTTTGCTTGGTCCCAACACCCTAGTTTGCCAATGCTGCCGATCCTGAGCTGAGCTCTTGCCAGCAGCAGAGGGCGCCATGGCAGCAAGTGAAACGAAGCTGCCATTCAAGATTTTGGGTTTCACAGAAAAGCCCAAGCTTGTCCCATGTCCTGCTGCCTGTCCAATCCAGGGAGCTCACGCAGGCTCACGGCGCCTGGCGCAGGGAGGGGCCCAGGGATCCCGTGGGGCAGCACACGGAGGGCTGTGGGCAGGAGGTGCCCAGGCGGCCCGGCACTGCCCTGGGGCGGGAGCTGCTGAGTATGGCGTCATGGTGGCTGCGCGGCAGCTGAGTACTTCCAGTGGCGCGGAGGAAGAGGAAGGGTCCTTAGGGGCCCCTGCACTGGGGAGTGCAGGGAAGCGCCCAGAAGACAGGGGCCTGCCGCCGCGCTCTGGAGACCCGAGGCCCCGGCTAACCAGGCGAACACGACTCTGGCCTGGACTGACTCATGCTGGGGGCTGCGGGCTGGGGACCGGGGAGAGGCCCTCTTGCCTCGCGGCCCTGTGGGTGGCCGAGGAGCAGCGCCGGGCGGGAGGACACAGCTCCCCGGAGGCGGGAGCTCGCTGGGGGCCAGGCCCAGTTCGCGGGCCCCGGGCTCGGCAGCCGTCTGTGCTCTTTCAGGTCCCCTAGGCTCTGCAAACTCCAGGAGCCCGCCTCAAAGAGAAAGCTGGGCGGGGGCTTATTTGCTGCGGGGCTGTACCCCAAATGCAGGTGCACGTCCCAGGCTTGAGGAGGCTGGGAGCCAAACAGGTGGAGCCAAGGCCGAGAAGATCTGCTCAGCCAGCCTCCGTGCCCCTGGCCTGCCTGCACCAGCTGGGCCTCGCACGAAGCAGGATGGGGCTGGGCAGGAGGAGGAAGGGCCACACGGGGTCACTCACCTCAGGGCGCTGTACCCCTGGCACACGCTGACACAGCACAGGACCCTCTCTTGGTTGGCCTGGGTCTCCCCCAAGTATTTACACACGATGTTCCCCCCCAGGCTGAAGCCCACGACCACCAGCTGGGTCAGGGGGTACGTCCTCTTGATGTAGTTGACCATGGCTCCAAACTCCCAGGTGCAGCCTGTGGGCAGAGGCGGGGCTGCTCAGTCAGCTGCTTCTTCAACAAATCCCGTTACTGAAAGCAAAGCGCCCGCCGCGGGAACCACAGGTCTGCGCAGATTCGAGGCCTGACGCAGGCCTGGTCGTCAGTGCAACCAGGACAGGGGACAATGCGACCTGGACGTTACCGACTGGACACAGAGAGAGGCGTGTGTGCGGCATAGACGCTTGCCTTGGCTACCTGGCGAGAAGCCCTCACCCCAGGAGCGAGGCGCCTGCGCTGAGCCGACTGTGTGCTGCTGTGCCGGCAGCTGTGGGCCGCCTGCCTCGTGGACGTCAGGACAGCTGTTCAGGGCGTGCGTGCGCCCTGATGCGCTCACAGCTGCGAGCCAAGGCAGGAGCCTCTTGGGGAGTCGCTTTGCCGGCTACCACCGGGCACCACGCCCACGTGCACGGCGGGTCAGAAAGGCCCGAGCGGGCTCTTCACAGGCTCTGTCCACGGGGGCGGAAGGAAAGACACTTCAGGCCAGGGGGACACCAGGACGCTCCGGGGGCTAGGGCATGGAATAAAATGTGCTGTGACGTGAGAACAGGATCCCGAGGGAGGCAGGCCCACCCAGAAACACACCGAGGGGACCTCGAAGGGAGGGGAGTTGGGCCCCGCTTCCCGGGGGGTGACCTCAGCTGAGTCTCTGGGGCAGACGGTGAGGTCACGGCTCCGCAGCTCTGCTAAGGGGGAGGGCTGGCGGCCCCACAGGTGGGACCCCGCGTGTCCCAGGGATCCACCCAGACCCTGCCTACGGGATCTAGCGGAGAGTGAGGACGTCGGCAAGAAGCTCGCCACGGACAGGCCGGCACGAGGACAGGATGGATTTGGGCTGGGGTCCGCCCACCCCGAAGCTGGAGATCGGGCCCAGGCAATTCAACGGGGTGATGCGATTTCCCACGCTCCTTTGTGAGAGAGCAGGGAGGCAGACACCTAGCTAGTGTCTTCTGGCCCGACCCTGGGGCCTGCACACACGGTGCCCTCTTCAGAGCGCGCCAGGCCCTGGTCACCACGTGTCCACCCTTGTGCTAGCGCCCAGCCCAAGACCTGGCCCATCCCGACACCCTGCCTCTTGCTGACAGCACCCCACTGTGACAGTGACAGCAGCCGAGGCTGGGAAGGTGGCAAAGGACGCTGAGACCCGGGGGAGACTGGGGCCCGGGGGGGGCGGGGGCGGCGGGCGAACCCTGAGAAGGAGGCGAGTTGTGCCCCCGGCAAGTCCGCCTGCTCCCGAAGGTGTCCTCTCAGCCGGCTTCCGCTCGCTCCTCACGGCGGGGCTTCCGCCACGTCCAGCAAACCATCAAACTCGGAGCCCAGCGGCCCTCAGAGCCTGCGCTGCCTCCCGGGCTCCGTGGGGCGGCCCTGGGCCCCGCAGCCCCGGCACTGCCGGGGTGCGCTCACAGCGCGGGTTCTGGAGCCCCACCCCAAGCCTGCTGCCTCAGAAACCCTCAGGGGGGGGGGCAGAACAGGCAGCTGGCTGCGCCCCACCTCCAGGATTCTTGACTTGGGCGGAGGGTGGGGCCGAGAACGCATCTCTAACAGACTTCTGGGGCTGCCGGGTGGAGCGCGACTCCTGTGCGCTGTTACTGCCCCGCAGCTCCGTCTTCTCGGCGGGGGCTGCCAGGCGTGTTGTTCTGAGGCCGAGCGAGCGTCGCTAGGGACCGCTCCGGCAGCAGCTGCTCTGGGCCTCGTCCTCTGCGGAGGGGTCCCGGGCCCGAACCAGGCGCTCTACCAGGGAGGAAGCGGTCTCAGGGGACGACGTGACTGCCCCGGACCTGGCCAACGAGTGGGGTGTGGGGCTCGGGCCCGTGTCTAGCCCCCAGACCTGGCGGCAGGTGCGGGCGGCAGGAGGTGAGACGGAGGGGTCAACGCCTCGCCTTCGCCCGCTGACCAGTGAGAGCTGGGCAGATGGCGGGAGGAGGCGGGGAGGCCGGCTGCCAAGGACCGGAGCGCCCGCCGCTGGCGGCGCCGCGGGAGGGAGCCTCCATTCGAGAGGCAAACACACCGACCTGGGCACAGGGCTGGCCCTCCTGGGGCCGACCGGCGCCGGCCGTGGGAAGACGGCCGTGTCTCCGCAAGGCGGGTGCGGGCGCCTGGCTCCGGAGCAGCCTCGCAGCCCTGGGCCCCCTGGGGGTCGGCCTGCTGTCAGCTGGCAAACAGCCTTGGGGCTGCGCACCCCCACCTATCCCCCCGCCCCCCGCCACCGCTACAGTGTGTTTTCTAACAGGAGGGCGATTTTGACGAGGTTCTAGGTACTTAAATCCTCCTGGAATTAACACCACTGGTGAGAGTTAGGCACCTAATCTCGCTGCAGCTTTTTAAAGACAAGATGAAACATGAGACACTGACCGGTCAGCGCGTGAAGGGCGCGAGGGCCAGCATGGGGAGGCTGGGGCGCCCCCTCCGCCCCTCAGCCTTGCAGACCGCAGCAGCAGCCCTGGCTCTCGGACCTTCGTCCTTCAGTGAACGGCCGAGTTCAGTAAGCAAAGGCGGGAGAGAGCAAAGAGCTCACTGGAAGCCGGCTGTGGAGCCAAGGCCGTTTCCCCGGGCGCTGCCATACAGCCCTCAGATGCGGGGCCGTGCGTTCCTGGGGACACCGACATGCACTGAGTCGCAGGTGCGGCCTGCAGCATGGCAGGCTGGGGGGCAGCCCGGGCCTGGGGGGCCCCAAGGGGCGGGGGGGTTGGAGCCAGGCAGAGCTAACAGAGGCACGAGCCCCGCCCAGCACGGGGGCACAGGGGTGGGAGAGGGTACTGCGGCCCGGTGCCACGGAGACTCACAGGAGGCTGAGCCGGCCCGGCGAACGGGACACTCGAGGGTGGGTGGCTGCGGGCCCCCAGCCCCTCACGCTCGTGACAGCGGGCGTGAGTCATCTCTGCGGGGCGGCGGGGTGCGTAAGCCCTTTGCCCGTGGCTGGCTGGCTGGCCCCCGGCTGTCCCAGCACACCGCCAGGAGGGCCCCTCCGGCCCAGGGCTCAGCGTCCATGGTCCCTCTGCCCCTTCCCTGCTGGGTCCCCAGCTCCCCCAGTTTCACTCCCCCCACGCAGGCTGCTGCCTCTCAGGGCCGTGGGCGCAGACACCGACGACGTCTGCGGCTCACGCCCTCACCCCCACGTTCTCCCTCGCTGTGAGCTCCTGCCCGTAATCCTCCACCCAGGCACACGGAGGCCACCCGACTCATGGGCGTCCACCTGGCCTACACTTGGAGTCTATCAATTCAAAGGGTGGATGCGAGACGCCTACAGAAACCCCACAGGGGTCTTCACACAGGACAGACGCGGTATCAGGCTCCTTAAAGCAAGTCACTCACTGTCCACGGCTCCCTGGCCAGAGGCCCAGGGCACGGGGTCCCGCAGCGCCCGAGGCGGGTGCCCCACCCGGGTCGCATCTCACCCAGGTTGTTCCACAAGTGGCTGCCGGGTGCGGGGTGTGTGGAAGGGCAGAGCCTACACCCGCCAGGCCCGTCCCTGCGGCCCGAGGAAGCGCCGGGATGCTCTTTCCCTTACACCGACGACGCGCCTGACCGGACGCCCGCGTCGCCCCAGAGGCCCTGGCGGCCCAGGCTCCCCCTCAGAGGCGCGGGCTGCAGGCGCAGAGTGCCGCGCCGGCCCGGGCCCCCGTCAGCTTCGTGATCTGGGGCAAGATATCCAGTCCTGCTGGACCTCAGCTTCCTCATCTGTACACGGGGAGTACGTGCACCCTGTAAAGCACTGGGGAAATGCCTGGCACGTGACCAATGTTATGTCCACAGCTGTTAAGAAAGAGTCAAGGGCCTCCCTGAGGGCGCAGGGGCCCAAACACAGCTATGGACCGTGAAGCTGCCCGCGGCC